TGTTCTGTAAAGGAGCTTGGGGAAAATTTAGCACTTTTTTTAACCACCTACATTGGCAACCCCTAATGTGGGATCTGTCCTACGGGCAGAACTTCATTGTCATACAGACTATATGTAAAGCACTGTGAACTTGATTCTCCACTGTCTTGTACCTTGTAGCAGTACCTTTTCAAAGTGGGTATAACATTTTATCATTTTCTGTTTATTAAGGTGGTGTCCCATTATGGTAGGTACTGTACAAACCCTGTAGCAGATATTCCTTCCCCAGAAGTTCTTTTAATTTGAACAGGCAATACAGACGCTGGGACTGGGTGAGCAGTGCGATGCACAAGCAAAATGGTCAGGGTGGCAGCAGCAAATGGTAAGTAAATTCCAAAAATTTTCTTTTAATTTTGGGTGGGGTTCAGTTAGGAGGGGACTTTCTATACAGAGGGGAAAATAGAGCAAGGGGGTGAAAGGGACAGAAAAATAAGAGAGGAAGTAAAGAAGGCATGAGGGGCAAAAGTAGATTGAGAGGCTGAGGAGTGAGGTCTGCTTAGGGGGCTGAGGGAGGATGAAGCAAACAGCCAATCAACACAGGGCAGAGAGTCTCCTTTCAAAATGTAGACTATACACCGCTTTGCACAAGTGTAACTTATTGTACAAGATGCCGGGGTGTGGAGAATCAGGACCGGGTCTTTACGATGTAACCCCTTTGCAAACAAATGTGCTTATACTTCTTGCATTCAGTGACTATGCAATCCTTCTTAGTGACACTGCAGATGTATTTACAAAGGTATCATAAAATGTAGGTTGTGACCGGCGGGTTGTGTCAATTCAGATTTGTAACGTTGTGTCTCCTCACCATGGGAGTAAATGCAGTATCACTAAGGTTATGTCTCCACTTGGAGCTAGGAGCGTAATCCCCTGCTCCAGTAGACATGCTTGTACTAGATGTGACTGAACAAGCATGCTTAAAAATATTAGGGTAGCTGCAGTAGCAGTGGCAGCAAGGGCTAGCCATTGCGAATACAAACTGGCCTTGACCTAATGGATATGTAATTGGGATGGCTAGCCCATGCCACCGCTACGCTGTTCCTGCAGTTATACTACTATTTTTGGTGCACTAGCACAATAGTGCCAATGCCTATTTAAGCTGGGAATCAGCCTCAAGCTTCAATTGTAGATCTAACCAAAATGGACTGCCATCAGTGAAACAACTGGGCAAGAAGAGCATTTCCTTAAAAAAGGTAGGAATTTCTATTTAAAGTTTTAAAAACAAACAACAAATCTGATAAACATTCTATTCGGAAAGAAATGCAGCACATATGTGACACTTCAATGGGATTTTAGCAATTCAGACATGTTGTAAATGAGAGTGATGCCTGACTCCCACACCATGCCTGAACTGAACCCATATAAAATCCACCATGTAGGGGAGTATTTATTAAGAGTTATGCATAAGCAGCAAAAGGAGAATAGACTCAAATGAAATTTGAATCTGTGCACTTCCAAGACTTCAACAGAACAAAAAATGAGCAGTGCAAAAATACACAATACTTAGAAAGTTGAAAATCTCTCCCTAAGCTTCTAACTTTGAATTGTATAAAAACTGTACGCAATTATCTTCTGTTTATTCTGGGCTGTAAAAGGGGAATATTTGTTGATGTTTTTTCACCAAAAAATAAAGCAGACTTATTTTGTGGCACAAGGGGCCATCTAATGCAGTTTATCATTCATTTTGAAAGCCTGGGGTCTGAGGTTACGATACTTTTCAAGATTATTTTAGATGTTTGTTGCTCATACGAATGTTGGTTACTAGAATGCTAGTTTCAAAAGAGCCAATAGAAGCAGAGGATGGTAAACTCATCCCAGACGCAGGCCCTTAGTGAGGATTTGTTCCCTTCAATCTCATGTTTCCATTGATTGGTTGCATTGCCTTTCTACAGGTTTTGTGTTAGAGTATGTCCTTTGAAGTAGTATAGAGACTTTTACCTGAGAGAGAGACCTTCTTTAGTACACATTCTTTAAATTACAATAGCTATCTGAAGCATCTTGATGGATGACTGATAGCATTGTTGTTGCATGAGTTTCATTACGCTTGTAACCCAAACAAGCAGCCTCCCTCCTCTAGTCCTTCAGGACAGCTTTAAGATGTATCAGGCTATGTCTATGCTGCACTTTTATCAGTACATTTTTTGTTGGTCATGGGTGTGAAAAAACACACAGCCCCCTCCCACTGAAGAAATATGCTTTTCCACTGACAAAGCTACTATCTCTCATCGGTGCTGATTTTGTTGGCTTTGCTGCTGTAAGGTGTGCAGTGTAGATATAACCTCAGAGGTGATGTTTGTATGAACCTTTTTGGATATACAGATATATTTAGCTGTTTGCATCAGTGGTGAAACTCAAGAAGGCTTTGAAGCTATTACTGCTTTGGTTCTAGTTCTGTCTTAAACTTTCCCTTTTTCTGTGCCAGATTATTCTAGCACTGTTCTATGATGGGGTGTGTAATTAATTTGGTTATTACATGATTTGACAGAATGTGCAGAATTCACTCATTTCTTGTCTCTTCTGGATCTCCTGTAGACTAATTTTTTAAGGATGGAATTCATGCAGAACAGTAAATGACTGAGGCCAAGATGGAGTGAGGGGGAAGAATGGGAATCTATGGTCCAATGAGACACATTTATTTATTAGTAATTGAAGCAGTGCCTTGGGATCTTTGTCTAGTCAAGGACTTTGCATTAGGGGCTTCATTCTACACAGAACAGACAGCCTCTGTTCCAAATACCTATGTTTTTCTCTCCTCTTTTATGACATAAAAATGAATTTGGCTGGGATTGTGGAGGTGCATGTTTAGCTAGGCAAAGTTGCATATTGGCGAAGTGTTTAACATTAAATGTCTCCTTACCAGTGTCCACCAAGAACATTACACTAAGTGATACCATCTCCAAATGCCCTCTATTGGACCAGCCTATCAAGAGTTCTTCAGCACCATCTCTGGGTTTGCTGAAGGGGTTGCTCAATGACAGACTTTTACCTCCCCACACAAGCTGTGTGGGTGCTGCCTGTGGATGGAAAGGCCATGTAACAGGTTGTTCTAGTTTCAAATCATTTTTATTACTGTAAATCTGAAATTGTGGCATTGAAGGCTAGACAGTGTGCTGGATTTGATACCAGTAGTAGAGATCAGAATAATTCTTTTTCTTCAGAAAAGATGCTTCAGTGCTTGCTTTATACCACCTTATGCTGCATTTTAACCAAGTATTTTCCACAATTTACCTACCACTATTTGTCCTAGTGAAAGAGTTAATAAAAGGTCCATTACTCAATTTGTTTGTCTTCTGTGGAAGACAGGATCCCAGCAAGATTTACCCACTAACAGCTGACAGGAAGGTTCCTGTCTACACTGACTGTAAAGGTTCCTGTCTACACGGATTATCTGTTAGCATTGTGCTAGAACAGGACCTTTAAGGAGATGTGTTGGTTTACACAATGTAAGAGTCTAGTGAAGACAAGAAGACTTGGTCTATTCAGGCCAGGTTTGAGCTACCCTACTGCTCTGGTGGGAAAACTTCAGAAAACATTGTGGAACAAGCTTTGTCAAAGTGTTCAAGTAATTATAGAAGGATGTAGAGTGGACTAAACCAAGGCTTTAGTGGGAGAAGGTTTTGTTTTTCAAGGAAAAAGTGACTTGCTACCAGGAGAACACCTCTGTATACCCAGTGTTCAGAGAAAAGGCAAACAGCAAGGAATCATAACTCAGTCAGTTCACAGTTTAACAGAAGACTCCCTGGAAGACAGTGCCCAATAGGGACTGGAACAAGTCCTGGCCCCATACTGCAGAGACCAGGGCTTGCCGAGCAGGCTGAGGGTCTACCCAATTTCTTCCTTCCCCATTTCTGTCATAGCTAGGTGTCCTCTCACCTGTGTGGTAGCATAAGGATATCAGACCCGGTACCGTCTGCTGCTCTCCAGCTCAGGTCTGGGCAGAGCTGAGGCTGCAGCAGAAGCAGGTGAGGAGCAAAGGGAGTGGAAGGGTCTCTGGTGGACGGGGCGGGCTGCGAGTTAGCGCCCCCTGGGTGCTGTCATGGGAGGGGCGGTAGGAGGACTCCACAGGCATCCCCTGCCCAGCAAGCGGGTCCCAGCTGCTGGTCACCGAGATTCCATTTAGAACCCGCGACGCCGCCAA